ATACGTGCTCGTGCACGTCTCCTAGGCCATGCAAGCCTTGTTTGCGCCCTTTGCTCTGCTTTGTCCATTAGCCTCGGCCCTCGGCCTTTCTCATCATCGGGGGTCAAAACCCACTTCCGTATCATTCCCGTCCCCTTTAAGAATGTCCTTGTCCTCAAGGACTCGTCATCGATCATTAATTGGGGCATCATCACCTCGTACACTACGTGTGCAATTTCTTTCTCAACCACTGAAATCTCCAGCACACCTTCTTCATTCTCAAGCCAAATCTCCTCCCTTACTCCAGTCACTTCGGCTTCATTGGACTCGCCCAAAATTCTTTCAACCTCAACAAAGTGTTCATCAGGGTATACATCGAAAATAGGCGGTCCTTCATAATCCGTCGACTCATTCGCGTACTCGATGGGCCTTACATCCTTAAAATATTTCGAGAATTCAAATGGAAAGATCGTCCCCTTACACTTTTCGTCGACCCGGCCTTCTTCTTTATTAGACTTATTGTCGGTTTCTCTAACCAACTCGCATATCTCGGATTGTTGTCGCTCGATCGTCCAAACCTCGGGCACCTCCCTTCCGACCTCACTCTCGACATTGACCACTAGTTGGAACATCGCTTCCTCTTCAACCGCCTTGACCCTTTTACACATCTCGTCATGGCTCTCTTTGTCCATTACTATGATCTCGCTCGCGACACCGATTACCTCGTCTTCGTGCGTGCCTTGCTCGCGGTCGTGGCATTGTTCGAACTCTTGATCGTCACGCCATCGCTCGCGTTCGAACTCCTCGTATGGTCGTTCACGTGCATCGTGGCGTTGCGCACCTTCGCCCCGCTCTTGCGTGTTTCGCGCATCGCGTCTAGGCGATGGCGTGCGTTCCTCGTGTTCAGCGTGCCTGCGGTTCTCGCGCCTCGTCGGAACGTCATGATCCCGCTTTTGTTGGGACGCCCGCAGCACCTCATCTAGGCGTTGCTCGAGTCGTGCCACGGTAGCGTTGGTGTTGCCCTGGCCCTCGCCGAGAGATCTAGGTCGTCCTTCCACGGCTTCGCTCATTACCTCCTTGTTGAACGAGTTCGGTTTCTTGCTCTCGACCGACTCGATCGTAATTTCTACCTCATACTTATCGTGCTTGACCAATTCGACCTCCATCTCATTCTTGGACTCGCCTTGGGCCTTGTCGCCTACTCGCGACTCCTCTTGCTTGATCTCAGCTTGCTCGCACTTTGTCCTCGCCCGATCGTAACCGTAAGGTGGTGGCTGTGCACGCAGTTGTGGTCGATCATTGTTCGTGGTTGGTCGATGCGCAACCCTTAGGCACTCGTTGAACCGTGGGCGGTCATGAATGTTTGATGCCTGAGGCCGCTGCTCGACATCCTCTTTGACTTGGGTGTGGCCCATGAATTCCCGTTGGCAATTAGACAAGTTGCCTCTCTTCCCTTTATGTGAGGGAGCCTCGTCGTAATGGCAATAGATCGGAGTCTTGAACCGTGCGACGAGCTCCTTCTTAA